AAGCAGAATGGTTCACATTTTTGTTTGCTTCAAGCTGATAGAACTGACCTGATTATAATTTACATATACTCAGTTATTACTGTTGATAAATACTTCAAAGAACATGGAACATTGTTTTAGGGGAAGATTAAGTAGGTAAAAGGGGCTCTGTCTTGTATTTTTCTTTTTCTAAGTTTCTTTGAGTCCATTCTTTAGTAAAAGCATCTTTTAAAACAAAAGCAAGTTCTCAAAATATATACCAATTTGTATTTACTGCATTAAACCTCAGTTTATTCTCAAAAAAGGACTGATGGAATGATCTCATTCTTTTTTTTAAAAATTTTTATTACTTTTTTTTTAAATGTGTGTACTGTTAAATCAGATCTGACTCGTACAGGAGGAGATTGTCCCTCCTTCAGCAGAGTATCTGGTGGATTCGAACCTCACATCTCTGGGACTGCAGTGCAGCTTCTTGCCATTAGGCCACCAGAGCTCGCCATGATCTCATTCTTACACAAAAAGAAATTAAGCAAAACAAAGTGAGCCAGAATCTACGAGTAAACTGGCAAATAGTGATGGTGTTAAATACATGATGGTGCGTACAATTTTATGGCACATTCGATCATTATTAATCAGTATTAAGTATTGTTGGTTCTGCTTTAAACTCCCCCTCTTCTCTACCAGAGAAAATGTCTGAGTCTCCTAAGCTAAAAGACCATGGACTAAGAAAAACCTATTAGTAACCTTCTGATGTCAAAGATTACTCTAAGCAAGTTTAATAACCATGAGTCACTGCTGAACAGCCATGCTATGAAAAGGCTTCTCCCCTCCTCCCTCTTAAATATGCCAGCAACTTCTCCTCTCACGAATCGAGTGAATAAAGCCATTCAGCACTGCGAGCAGAGACGGAGGAGGCCGAGCGCAGCGCGGGAGCCGGGGCTTCCTAATATAGCAGGCAGTGGGCAAAGCGTGCGAGCAGTCCCCAGACACCAGACCTGTGTGGCTGTCTATAATGAAAGAACAAGTCCTCCTGCCACTAGCTCCCTAAAAATAAGGATGGTTAAGATTATCCACATTTTCAAGGTCTAAGGAAATGAGTCTTGCACAATTCTTTAAAAAGCTGTGGCACAGTTTCTAAGGGACTAGTCTATTTGTATCATGCACAATTCTTAATATGGCAACTGTGTACCATATAAAAGAAGTAAAAACACTAACATATTACAAATAAAGAGATACTCAAATGTTGTATTTATAATTCTGTCTGAAAAATCACCAGACCTGAAATAGAAAGTACCCATGGACTTAAGGGACAAAGGCCAGGTTTCACCTGTGTTTGACAGGGTAGGTGTAGATGTTGTCTAGACTCTACCACAGGTGTCGTTGTGGTGTTCCATCCAGCTGGGACCGACCCAGAGCTGACCCTCCAGGGGGTCTACAGATGTAGTAAACTGCACGGGAGAAGACTGCCCATCTTTCATCCAAGGAGCAGCTTGAGGATTTGAAGCACAAGCCTTTGGGATTGCAGCACAGCTTCTTACCACTAGGCCACCAGAGTTCACTCTACCACAGGTTGTTGTGGTTAAGTGCCGTCGAGTTGCAGGCGACTCATAGCGACCCTATGAAGGAGAGTCCTCGATGCTTGGATGCCTTTCATCCTCTCTCCAGGTTTATAGGGTTTCCAGAGGCAAGCTATTATGGAAGTGGATGCCACTCCTCCTTCCACGCTTGTTTTAATCGGGGAGCTCCACCCCACTCTCTGTCCACATTGGATAGCCAACCATTAACACATTTGACACATCAGTGTCACAGTGTTCAGCCTCACAGCAACCACAAGTGACCGTGGTATGGCAACTTGTACACCACAGGTTACTGAAGGCAAATTATCAGTTTCCTGGTTTGGATCATGAGATTAACAGGAAACGATTCTACCTTAACGTTAAGATGGAGGCTTGTTCTCTACAAATACACTTGGCAAAGTATGGTGTTCCTCACTCACTGAGCAGTGGAAGCCTCGTTTCCTTCTCCCTCACGTAACTGGGTGGCCCTCCAGCCCTTGCTGACACATTTCCAGAGCCAGGAAATGTGCTACCTCCCAAGGAAGCTGACTTCCACCTATTATTTTTCCTAGTATCAAGACAAAATTTGACTCCCTGTTTTATTTTCATGCACGGGGCTTAATTTGATTGGCTGAAACTGTCTGGAATAGGCCCAGACACTCCCCAACATTATATGTCCCCTAAGGACATTTTAAGTAAATGTTTTTTTGTCTAACATAGTCGCGGTGTGCCATCAAGGCAGTTCTGACTCCTTTTGACCCTGTAACACAGAGTAGAACTGCCCCTTTGAGCTTCCCAGGCCGCAGTCTTTATGGGAACAGGTGGCTTTGTCTTTTCTCCCATTGAGCAGCTGTAGGGGTTTGAACTGTCAATCTTGAGTAGCAGCCTAGTACTTTTTTAAAAAATGCCAAAGTGTTTTCCAACAAACAGTACTATTTTAATAACAGGCACTTAGTAGTATCTCACTGTAGTTCAGGGAGCTCTAGGGGATTAGTGTTAAAGAGTCGTGCTGTCAATGCAAAGGTACTGGGTTTGAATTCACCTAGGGGAGGGAAATCCCTGATACAAGACAGCACAATCTTTCTGGAACTGGAAAAAAAAAGATTCTTAGATTCTGGGGGAATGAGTAAAGTAGCTTAAAGACTGGAATAGGATTTAAGTACTATTAATTCTTTTTAAATATACTTTAAAGATGATACAAATATCTTTTTTTAAAATAGAAGAGCAAAAAGTGGCAAAAGGTAATAGTTTCCTTATAAGAGGATGTCTACTTTGAGCACTTGTGTTCAGCCAGTTCTGTCAAGCAATAAAAAGAAATCAAAGCCACTGTATCATACTGGAAGAGAAGCAATATTTGTCCTTTTGTAAGTAAGATATTTCACTCAGCATAATGTCCTCCAGGGTCACCCATGTAGTAAAATATTTTATTAATTACTTGCTTTCAGTGCTGCATAGTATTCCATTGTGTGAATATACTATCGTGAAGTGGATTTAAAAATCTTGGTTCTAAGGAGGAAGACAACTCTGAAGAGCAATCCTTGCAGATTACTTTTCTGAAATAGGTTATACCTAGGGGAGGGAAATCCCTGATACAAGATTAAAATTGCTCACTGTCTATTGTTCCTAAACAGAACAACAACTGATCTTTTAAAATACTGATCCTGCAGACTATACCCGGTTGAACTCTTATTTGTTTACTAGCTCTTTTTGTAGATTCCTTCAGATTTCCTGTACAGACAATCTTATCTGCAAAGACTCTTATTTCTTTTCAGATCATATAAAAGGAATATACGATTAAGCATTATTTGTACGACAATAGCCAAGAAAAAGAGATGCATAGCAAAGCTGACTGGGGGAGAAGATGGGGGGGGGACTGCGCAACAATGAATGAATGATTTCTTTATTTAGTTATTTGTTTGTTTGTTTGTTTGTTTGTGTATTTATTTATTTATTTAAGTGAACTGGAGGGGTAGGGAGGAAAATATGCAAAAATAAATTCATGAAAATCCAACTTTTCTGTAAATTCACAATTAAAAAAAGACTATAACTATTTTTATCCTTATAGCAGGAGGTCCATTCTTGCTTAGTGTTGGTCCCACTGACAAGCTTCAACCCCAGCATTAGACATAGTTACAGAGAACTTTTGGTTGTTGGAAGGCTGTCCTATGCAATGTCAAATACTTGGCAGCATCCCTGGCTTCTACCTACTAGATGGCAGGAGCAACTCCCTCCTCAGGATCACAAACAAAAACACCTCCATACATTGCAAATCATTTCCCTGAAGGCAAAGTTCTCTCTGGTTATAAATCACCAGTGCTTTTGTAGATAAGACCTCCAGCAGCTAGTCTGCCACGCAAGGAATACTGACGCTTTTAAACAGGAAGCTCTCTTTTGATCCGCACCCCTTGTTGTGCACTGTCGAGTCAGATGTGACTGGCAGAGGAGGAGGAGACTGCCCCTCCTTCTCCAGCAAAGCATCTGGTGGATTCGAACCATGCGCCTTCATGATTGCAGCACAGCTTCTTGCCATTAGGCCACTACAGCTCCCTAGGAAAGTATTTCAAAAAGGGCATTTTTTAAAGGGCATATTTTGAAAAGGGTATTTTGAGGGGGCTACTGCTACGTAGTACGAGATGGATCTCTCCTCCTCCAACAGCCCCAAACTCAGTGACGTGGGCTGATGGTTCTGTTCTGTGTAAGTTTCCTCTGCTGAAGTCCCTAAAGAGAGCCTTGGTGGTACGGTGGTTAAAGTAGATGGCTGCTAACCAAAAAGCTTGGTGTCTGAAAGCCGGCAGCTGCTCTGCAGGAGACAGCTGAGGCAGCCTGTCTGTCCAGTGACAGCCTTGGGACCGTATGGGGAAGTTCTGCTCTGTCCTCCAGGTCACCAGGAGCTGGAGTCACCTCCACGAGAGTAGGTCTGGTTTTAGGTAGGTCCTTAAGAAAGACCATGAGGGTCTTTTCCAAGTAGACTGGGGGACAGAGTCAATTCTGTTAGGAAGCAGAACACATGACATTTAGTAAAAGCTGACGTCTGAGAGACAAACGGGGTGAGTAGACCAGGAGGAAGGCAGGCTTGGAACAATGGTAATGGTGACTGAGGGAGCCGAAATATTCATTGTGAATAAAGGGGGCACAGGAAGGGAAGGCGCCTTCTAGGAAGACTGTTGGTGGAAAAGAGATTTTAAGTCTATTAAATTACTTAAAAGAATTAAGACTAGAAAGCAAATAACTTTATGTAAAAATGTCACGTTAAAAAAGAGGAAAAAGTTAAAAATGTATGTTAGATGGTAGGACAGGAGAAAACTCAGTGACTCCTGAGAGGTAACAGCCACTCTAAGGCTGTATTTTAAAAGCTTCAAATAAACCCAAATTTACTGATTTTTTTGTAAGTCACCTCAAAATTTGTTTTATATTTGCTTCAAGTCAACTATGACATACATTTAATAAATAAAGCTAAATACCTACTTTTTCTGCTTTTTTGTCGGAAATGTCTTGCTTTTCCAGAACGGCCATGCTCTCCTTCAGGTTCTTCACAATGTCTGCTGGAGATTTGTGCGACTTTCCGAACGGGAACGGCATGACGGCGAGTGGCAGGCGTCTCCGATGCGCTCGGCCGGCTTCACCTGGGGACACAGCACAGGCCTGGTGAGCAGAAGGCGAAGGAAGATATGCTTGCTCGCTAAGTCTGATCTTTGGGGAAACGTCACGTTTGGGAAGGCCATTTTTCATGAATTTCAAAATCAGTCGGAATCCTGTCGATTGATGAGAGGAATGGGCATGGGGCTTTCTCAGGACGGCTGAGTACCTGTGTTTTTCCAGGAGCCCCGCAGTTAGAAGCTTCTGGCTGCTAGCCAACACCTACAGCGTGAATTCACTAGCTGAACCTTCTGGTGGCAGAAAGCTAAGACAGTCTGTGTCTGCTTCGCTAAAGATGAACCGTGTTTTGTTATGTGCTGTTGAGTCACATGCGACTCACAGCAACACTACGGGCAAAAGCTCTGAATCCTGCTCTATCTTGAGCCAACCTCATTGTCTCTGACACACCTATTCCCATTACCCCAGTCACTCACCGAGGGTCTTCCTCTCCTGCGCTGTCCCTCCACCCTGCCAAGCAAGATATCCCTCTCCACGGGCTGGCCCCTCCTTGCAACATGCCAAAGTATGTCTAAGTTTTAAAATCCTTGCCCCCAAGGACAACCTGGTTTTACCCTCTCCAGGAAGAACCTGTTTGTTCTCCTAGCTGTTCATGGTATATTCAATACTCTTTTCCAGCACAACTCAAAAGCATCTATTCTCCTTCTATCATCATCCTTAGTCACTGTCTAGCTTTCTGATGCATAACAAGTACCAGGCTCACCTCAGTCTTACAGTCTCAGAAACCCATGAGCAATTCCACTCTGTGGTCACTCTGCATGAGAATCAATTCTACGGAGGGGGTGGGCTTGCATTTTTCAAAACACCTCTGCCCACACACATATAAGGAAAGGGCACAAGAGGAAGGTGCTTTGGCTGAAGGCAACAGCAGCTACCACTCCAGGCCGGCCAGACCGGCCTGGATCCAAGCTCAGGGCTTATCTCAGGGAATCGTCAATAGCACACAAGGAGCCCAGTGCCTTCCAATTACAGAAGTTTGCCGAGTTTATGGGAAGTTTACAGAGGAACTGGACTGGGGTACTGAATGATAAAACACACTCAGGTCTGCTTCGGTTCAAGGTGTCCTTTACCACCACACTATCCCATCAAGGGACAGGCATCTTTATTTTAAAGTTGAGAAGACAAGACAAAAAGTGAGGTGGGGAATCAAGGAGTTCGGGGGTCCTATTTAGGCCCAAGATGCCTAGATGTTTCCCGCCCTCAGGCAGCCCCTCTCAAGACAGCCGGACACACCCACTTCCTGCGACATCAGCCTGGGTCTCAGAGATGGAGAGAACCTCCTGCAGCTCTGGACAAACCTCCATCAGACCCTCCCCTCCCTCAGATGCCAGTTCTCCCTGCCTTCCTGGTAGGTGTCATCTAGTCCGCCTCACAGCCACCCTAAAAATGACAGGCAGAATCCCTGCCCAATCCTGGACAACTCGCTAGACAAAAACACAGGGGTAATTAACTTCTAGAAGTTTTCAATTTCTTGTGGGCAGCAGAAAACAACATTTCAACCACTGAAACTAGAATATTTTTATATTCAAAATAGAGACATGTAAATTCTAAGAAGCTACTGTTAAAAAAAACAAACTTAAACAAGACAAACAATGGACATGATTTGGGAATGTGTTAGAAATGCCAAAGAAAATAGTTTCTTTCATTAAGTAAACTAAGTTATACTCCTGAGAATTAATCTGTATCATATAAGCCACTAGAGGATAATACTCCTGAGAGGAAGCTTAGAGCAGAATGTTTCAATCTGAGTCTGAACCTCCTATCCTAACCTTAACCCTAATCCTTCACCCAAAGTAGGGAGAGCTCAGTTTCATATCCCTCAACAGTTCATTGCTTTCTTTCCCCATGGAAACAGAAAAACATCTTCACTGCATGGTATCAGAGCATTGCTTTGAGCTTTGCCTAAGATTTCATTTGAAGAAAGAATTCCATTTTCCTCCTAGACCTACAGTGACCGAGACATCTGTTTACAAGGAAAAGCACAGACGGAGAAAGAGCGTGCCCATCATGCTCCACCTACTATAATCAGGTATGTTACCTCTCAACGTGTTTTAATGCAAGCTGTTCATGCCAATCTCCAACCCCAAATATCACCGACTTGTAGATATTTCTTTATCAAATAAAAACACTGCATTATGAATGGAAATCCAAAATCTCTGTAAATGTTCATTAAAATTCATAAAATTTAATTAAAAAAACAACAACAAAAAACCCACACTGCATTAGCATGATTTCTACCACAGGTTTTCCAAATTCTAAGTATCATTTCTATGACAAAGCAACTAACTGATGGGGTGACTATCATGATGGCGTCATCAACTCCCACATGGCTGTTAACATGATTTCCCTGTTACATAGTTGAACGGACACAGATTCTGGTCTTTTCCACCGACCTGGGCGGGTTGCCACTCCATAAAAAGACCATCTTTCCTACACATGTCCCCACGAACCAGCATCTATGCTAGCTCCGCATTGCTGTTGCTGTTACGTATCACAGAGTCAGAACTGACCCACAGCTGACCCTCCAGCAGATTTTCAGAGGCAGCAATTGTTAACGGTATTTTGCAGGAAGCATTATGGTCCTAGGAGCTCCAGTAGCACAGTGGTTAAACTGCTCAGCTGTAATCTAAAAATGTGGTGGCTCGACCCTCAGTCCGCCTAGCTGAAAAAGGTGTAGAAGTTGGCTTCAATAACAATTTCAGCCTTAGAAATGCTGTAGGGTAGTTCTACTCAGTCCAATAGGGCCTTTCTGAGTTGGAATCAAGTTAAGGCAGTGGCTCTCTGGACTCTGGTCCTAAATACAGTCATCAGTCCTGGCTCAATTGTGGGAGAAAGAGTTTAAAATCCTACCCAATACCAAATGCTGATCACAGCAAAAAGAATAATAATCCAAAAAGGACAGACACATTTTTAGAATATTTCAGCTGGGGAAAGTAGAGTTATGAAACATACTCTTAAGGCAGTATACTAGGTGGCCAACATTTTGAAGAGCATGTAAACTGATGAGACTATATTTTGGGGAAATACATGGCAGTTCGTAGTAGCACGTAATGGACACACCTGTACAGGATCCAAGCCACACGACTGAAGTTATTCACGACATGCTTTTATCACAGACTAATGTCCTTTTTACACACACACTCCTGGATGGCACGGTTTGTGATGTGTTCACACAGCTGGCAGAAATAAATGTCAGTGGTTCAAAACCACTAGCTGCTCTGACAGAGGAAGATGGGGAGTCTTCCCATTGAGACTTTGTTGAAGCACCCTTCCTTCAAACAAGAAGCCTGTGACGGCCCTTATGGAGAAAGTACACCTGTTAGATAAGCTTCATGCAGGCAGGACTTGGCTGGGCCTGAGTTCAACAATACGGACTGTGCAGAGAAAGGAAGAGAAAACCCGATCTACACATGAGGTTCCTCCGGTAAGCACCAATGTGACATTTAGAGTGCTAAATGAAGCAATAGAAATGATGGGGAAGTGGTTAAATTCACAGCTTTTGAGCGGAAACTAGATTTTAAAAAAATTGTAGTGGACAGCAAAGATGTGGGACTGACAGCCAAGGAAATGTATGGTCACATTACCCATAGTCAGGAAAAGTTTAAACCTGTCTACACTACCGTTTTACTTTAAAAAACAAACCAACCAGTGTATTTGTAAGAAATATATATTCAATAACATACTTCTAAACAGAAATACACATAAAACTTGTTAGGTACTGATTGATAAAGAGAGTGTATCCAAAACTCAAGAGTGGGGCATTCACCAGTCTGGTTCACAAAAGCTTTACAGGATAGAGCTACTTCAAAGAGAAACAGCTGTACTTCTAAGTCACAGTACCACATTTACAAACATGGTAAAAATCGAAATTTTTCCATCTAAACAGTGGGTCTGTAGATTTCCATTGTTATTCCATTTTACTACATATTAAAAAACAATGTTAATGCTGTTTTAAAATAGCTTAAATGGTTGTAGACTTAATTGGAATCCATTAAGGAAATTTAACAAAAATTTATTGTTGAAAAATAAATTTGGCCCAAATAGAACCAATTTCCTCTTGTCCCTCAAACAACTGGCTCCTAATAAACCTCAAAAGGGTTGCTTGGGCTTAGCTAAAAGGTCTTATCAATGGCAACCTGGAATAAAGGGACTCACTGTTGGTATTCTGAAGGGTGGCTGTAGAAATCTACCCCTGCATGTCTCAAACTGGGGTTGACTTGTTTTTGAAGATACCTAGTTTTTTGTTTGCATGAATCTCAGAGACAAAAAAAAAAAAAAAAAAGCAGTCCTGGAAGGGGAATTCAGCTGGACAAACAGGGGAAGGGAGCAAACAGTAACATCACTGTGTTGGGAGGGCTGGTTTGTTTGTTTTGTTTTTTTTTAAAATAATGGTTTGTACACAAAATTCATATACATTGTGTTTCATTCATGTACATGTATTTCACACATTCCTTCATTCACACTGTTTCAAGTAATTTACCACTTTTCTATCAGAAATATTTATGCTAACTCTGCATAAAGGGAATTTCCATTTTGCACTGCTCACCCCTTCGCTTCACTGCACGGCTCTCTCCTGTCTTTCCAATGCCTGTTCCATCTGCATCTGAGTCAATGACTCATCTTACGCCAATGGTACTGTCCTCCAAGGTGCTACCCTTGGCTGTGTCCTTCCGCTATTTTTTCTGAGTGATCTCATCTACTTGATAATTTCAACAACCTGGTAATTCTGAAATCAGTCTCTCACTCCAATTGGCTGCTTCTCACCATAGATCTTCTCTAGACATTTCAGACCTCACCCCTAAGAAAGTCTCAGTTCTTTTCCTATGCTCCCCATTTGTGATAAATGGATCCACTGTTCATCTAATCACAAAATGTGGTCAATAAAACATACCAGACTCTTAACTCTTTCACCTATTTCTATTTTATAAACGCTACCTCTTCAGACCCTAATTTGACAAACTCATTATTCTCCATGAAATATAGTGATTGTCAACAGGGATATCACCACTAGAGGATGTTTGGTAAAATCTGGTAGGGGGGTGGTGTAAATGTACATGAATGAATGAATTGCTTTGTGAACTTTCACTAGGAAAAAAAATTAGAAAACAGTAACTGGGACATTTATTGACCACTGCCTGACATCATTACAACAAAAGATACTAGGTTTTTGTGGTTTGTTTGGGTTTTTCTTCTGCTCTTCATATAAACACACTTTCTTCTATCTCCTTAGAGGTCCAGAATAATGAACTTTTATAACTCTATCAAACTCTGAAGTTTAAATCTATCATTAAAAGTTAAAGCTTCTTGAGGGAGCTCTGGTGGCCTAGTGGCAAGAAGCTGCCCTGCAATCCAGAGATATGCAGTTCGAATCCACCAGATGCTCTGCTGCAAGAGGAGGGACAATCTCCTCCTGTACCAGTCAGATCCGATTTGATGGTATAAACAAAAAAAATAATAAAATTTAAATTTTTTTTTTAAAAAGTTTAATTTCTCATTTAAGAATGACTACAGTGTTCACTGTAGGAGCTCTGGTGGTCTAGTGATAAACTGTGCTGCCAGCCCAAAAGCATGGGGTTGGAATCCACAAGCTGCTCCGCAGGTTGACGGACAATCTCCTCCTTTCCGATTTACAGCCTCTGGGAAACCCACTAGAGGGTCAGCTACGAGTTGGTTCTGATTTGACAGTGCACAATGACAACAATCAAACATTAATCGGTCATAGAGGATAGAAAGTGAAAATATCTGCAAAATCTATTGACAGTCATAATTAAAAGCATAGTATAGATTTTCTTTTTTGTTTCTTGCTCTTTATTTATGATCTTTTTTGTATTGCGGCTATGTCTTTTCTTCAAAACAGATGGGGGCCAGATATTAGAACTGATTGTCTCCCTCTTGCAAAACACAAAGACTTCAAATCTCTGCTTTGTTATACTAGCAATTGAAGAGTACAAAGCTCCATTCCAGTGAGGTGCTGGAGGACACACAGGACACCTAGGGGAGAGGTCTGAGGCCTTTGAAGTTAGGACTCTCGTTCTGCCCTTTGCAGGCCATCTCAGGACTTCTGACTTGTGCTTCACAAGCTGAACTTGTAACTCCATCTCAGCTACATACTGACAAGTACTGGAAACTCATCTAGTGCTTCCCAACCAGTCATTTGATAACTTCTTCTAATAAATGCATACTTTAAGTACTAATTATACAGTCACCATACGACACAAACCAAACTTAAGGCACCAAGACTGACTCTCCACTGCAATCCCAAAGGTGCATGGTTCTAATCCACCAGATGCGTCACTGGAGAAGGGGGGCAATCTTATCCTGCACCAGTCAGATCCAATTTGACAGTACATAACAACAACAACAACAGATTGAAAAAAAACAACAACAACAGATTGACTGTTCTCAAGAAGACAATACTCTGCTCTAGGGTTCATGGATGCAGCTGTATGAAGAGACCACAGCACAACACTACTGAGTAACAACAATTCCTAGGCAGCTTAGTTTATCAGATTCTATACTAACATATATGGCAGGTCAAAGTCAAGAAACTCAATGGTCAAGTGCAAAGACTAAAACACCAATCAAAACCTCACATGTGCATTCCTCCTCCAGAGCAGTAAGACTGCTGAATACAAGGACTTTAAAAACAAAACAAAACAAAAACAAAAACCCCAAACCCCCTGCCACTGAGCCAATTCTGACTCATAGTGACCCTTTGGGACAGAGAAATACTCGCTGGGCATCCAAGACTGGAAAGCTCTTCGTAAGGACACTGCCTCATGTTTCAGGTGCAGAATTCTAAACCCTAATCCCTAATCTCTTGCTTCGAGGGTTAATGTTACTCACTTTGAACAAGTACAAAATGTCTAAGGTATTAGGTATAGATTATCCACACAGTAGTGCAAATCAATGATAACAACATATGAAAGCACATGGGTGTTCCAAGTCTTGGTTCACATACTGTCTTTACCATGCTTTATCCAACAGTCTTCTAAACTCCCTTTCTTCCTCTATGAAGTGGAAAAACGATTGCTGTTGTGGAATTGATAACAACTCAGAGACTTATGTACAACAGATCAGAAGCCTGCCGAACCTGCTCCATCCTCAAAATCAGGTTACTCTTAATATATTTGAAAAGTGCTTGAACCATCATCTGCATATGGTGATATGTGAATAGCTGTTTTGTGTGTGTGTGTGTGTGTGTGTGTGTGTGTGTGTGTGGTGTTTTTTTTTAACCTCTAAAGTCTAATTAATGAGTGTTATTTCCAAAGTTAAAGGAGCAGACTGGACGGTAATATAAAATAGAATAAAATTAATGATTACAACCTTTTAAACCCTTTAATCTTGCTAACATGCTAACAGAGGCAATGACTTATCTCTACTGAAATAAACCACGGGTAGTTCAGGTTATCGGTTTACTACCAACAACCCTCACAAGGGAGCACTGGCCTAGTGGCAAGAAGCTGAGCTGCAATCCTTAAGGTGCGTGGTTTGAATCCGCCAGATTTGTGTACCAATATGGCTATTAAAGGTACTTAAAACAGTGGAAAAGGATCAACATCAGAAAGTTATTAATACTGAAAAATTATTTTAAAATCAGTGCTTCTGAAAAATTCTCACTTTAAACACTAAGCTCCTGTATAGTACTCTCTAGCATGTGATCTACATGTATCCCAAACCCCATAGGGTCAATTAGAAAAGGCCTAAGATAAGTTTAATGTGGACATAAAAACAAAACAAAGAACACCCATGACCAGTCAAATAAAACAAAACCATTTACTGGTCATCTCTGGAGACTGTGATGGCTCCAAAGTCTGAATGCAATACTCTCAGAATCAGTACGTAATCGAATGACATGTTTAGTCTACCTTTTCTGTACATCCTGTGTTTCAGAGTAATTAACAGTAGATAAAGTTCTTTACAGAACAGTCATAGCTAATAAATGGGGAAGAAAAAGAATTACCATTTTATAATCTTTCATGAAATAATGTATCCAGGTAACAACTAGCTTTTATGGCCTAGTGGTAAAAAGTTGTCCTGGAATCCTGAAAGCACGCAATTTGAATCCATACACCAGATGCTCTGCAGGAAAAAGATGGGAAATCTCCTCCCATGTAATACACTGCCCCTAGAAACCCACTAGAGGGTCAGTATGTGTTGGTTCCGACTTGGCGGTACACAACAAACCTAGTAGTGAAGTCTGCAGGGAGGCAGTGCTAACTCAAAGGCCATGCCCCTTGGAAGGTTCATATCCACCAGTGGTTCCCCAGGAGGAAGATGAGCCATCTCTTCCCTGACTTACAGCCCCAGAAACCCAGTACTGAGTCAGCTGTGAGTTGCTTCTGACTTGATGGCACCAAGTAAAACAGTAGGTAATGAATGCTAATGGCCAGTAAACATCACTAAGTGACAGGCTGCCGGCAACTTTCTAATCATAGATGAACTGACAAAACCAAACACACTGACCTGCCATTTAAAAAGAGGACAACTGGGCACGAATGTATCTCAAGATGTGATGCAACAGGAAAACCTAAAAAATAATGCTTCTGATTCTCATTCCCTGCCCCAGGCCCCCAAATTTCCAAACAAACCTGAACTATGTAATCAAGTTTCTAATCTAACTTTAAGTCTGCAAGAAACACCGGGGATAGCTAAATTAATTAAACAACATTACTTTCAAAAGTCAGTCAAGACTTCACTGGCTTTTATCTATGCACTATTAATAAATAGAAACACAGCCCTTGTTAAAAAAAAAAAAAAGAAAAAGCCGACTTTAGAACATGAGACATTTGGGCTTCTCCAACAAATCAAATGGCATGGGCAAGGAAGGTAGCAGCAAAAGACAAAAATTAAGCCTGATGAGATATTGTAAACACAATGCACAGATTTTTCCCTAAATGCTGATGTATACTCACCAGCTGTGAAAGAGAGAACTGACCAATCAAGGAAGTCATCCACTGGGTACTGAAGACCCACCACTGGGCCAATATACAACGTCATCATAGATGGAGAAAAGACTGAAGTTGCCAAGGATTTCATCTTGCTTAGACCCACAATCAATACTAATGGTACCAGCAATTTAAAAAAAAAATCCAAGACCTTATTCCACCGGGAAAGTCTGCTGACAGGGACCTCTCCAAGTGACTGACGAACAATGACATCAACCATGGTCTTTTCAATCACCTGCTATGCATTCAAGAGCTGGACAAAGAATAAGGATGACAGAACAAAGATAGATGCCTTTGAGTTATGGTGTTGGAGAAGAGCACTGAGTGTCCCAATGACTGTCAAAAGGATAAAATGTCTGTCTTGCAGAAAGCGTAAGCCAGACAGTATCTTGCAGCCAGAGGCCTTGCCTGGGGGCAAGGATGGTGAACTCCATCTCATTTACTTTGGGCATGTTGCTAGGAGAGGCTACTCCTTGAAAAAGGACATCATGCTTGGAAAGGCGGAGAGTCAGCAAAAGAAAGGAAAATCTTTAGAGAGATGAACTGATACAGTGGCTGCAGCAGTGGGATCAAGTTATCAGAAGTAAGGCTAGGACAGGGCTCAGATCTGTTGTTCAAAGGGTCACTATGAGTCATACTTGACTTGATGGCACTTAACATATGACTAAGGAATTAGTATTCATTTTTCAAGATGATTTATTGGAATATAATACATACACTACCAAAAATAAACAACCCTCTGTAAGTTAAAACATATCTGAAGTATAACTGAAAAGACTTTAATTTATATTACAGTAAATTTGCAAATAACTAACAAAACCAGAAAAAAGAGTCAAAAGAAAAGACAGATGTATAAATAACCAAGCATGAATGAATGTTTTAGCTTGAAATACAACCAGAAAGGGGTTGGGAACATGTGAAAGGAGTAGGAGTTAACATGAGCAAGACCGAGTCTGATTTCTACTAGCTTCAAAAAGGGAACTGTCTCCATCA